ACTAACAGAGAGTTAAAAATTCCCTCCTCTAAAGAAGGTGTTATCACTCTTATAATTTTATTTCTAATCCAAAACGCACAAAAAGTGGCCTGAGCCTGCAAATGACCAGGCAAAGAGAGAAAACCTGGTCTAGTGGAAGATGTCCTTGCCCATGGCAGGGGGGGATTGGAACGAGATGATTTTTAAGGTCCCTTCCAACCCAAAGCCTCCTAGGATTCTACAAAAAGTTGAGAAGGAAAACGTGTGAGCCATACATATGAGCCACAAATTCTGCAAAGCCACAGTGGTTAACAACACCAGAGAACAAACAATTGCATTTTCTTCAAAGCTGAGCTGCTACTACAGCTGGTAAAAACCCCCAACCAACAAACCCAACCCCTCTGAGAATAACGCCACGCACATTAATATCCATCTGTATCTGTGATGTGAGAGACAAGGCAGGAAACAGCAGCGGACGTGACAGAATTACCACCAACACCAGAGAGCACAGAATCACTACAGACATCTGCATTTCTGGGTGGAGGAAAAGTTGAATCTCGCCGTGAAGCATCTCCCGGAGGCAGCGGGAGGCGAGCGGAACGGGAACAGGCTGGGGCCGATCCGAGCCTGATGTTCCCATGCTGCACACACGTGTGTCCCTCCCAGCGCATCCCTGAGCAGCCCGCAGCGCCAGCACGGCCGCAGGGAGGGAGCTCCGCAGGAGTTTCAGCGGGACAAGAAGGCTGCAGGGGGCTGAAAGCCCCGCTGGCGTTTATTCCTTTGCTGTTCCCCGCTCCGGCCGGACTTTGCCCCGGGTGCGGAATGACGGCGGGGGAGGACGGGATGACAGAGAGCGGGACAAGGACACGCTGTCCCCTCGCAAAGCCGCGGTATCCGCGGGGGTCCCGCGGTCCGGTGAAGCCTCACCTGCTCCTGGATGTGCCGGACGCGCTGGGCGTGCTGCCGCGGGGCGCTGTGGAGGCGCCACACGGCCCATGCGCGCAGCTGGTAGTAGATGTCGAAGAGGATGGAGAGCGGCAGGAGGAAGAAGCAGACGAAGACCCAGCGGTGGTGCACCAGCACGGCCTCCAGCCCGCGGTGCCGCACCCAGAGCAGCAGGAGCAGCAGCCCCGCGCCCACCGACCACAGCGCCGACATGAC